ACAAAATTTTATGCATTTTGGGAGATACAGCTAGCCGAACAGATAAGCGTTAGGCAGATATCCGTTCGTGCGGCTAAGGCAAAAGTTTTGCTGCCTCTATTGACCCCTTGCATCGAATTTTCCCCTCGTTATCGTTTATGGTGTCACCTGGTAAAGGTGACGAAGAAATGACTACATAGAGGACTACGTATTCTTTATGTACTAGTGTAGTCTAACAAGACAGGACAGTCCAAACGTTCGTCTAGGCCGATGAAAAGACATTTTCACGGCAATAAATATCCAAAAAGGGACGACGATCATTTGGAGCATAGTTTCTCCGCGAAGAAACTAGCCAGTGCGAATAGTGAAGATGTAGTTTGCAATCCATTGCATTGCTACAGAATTATTGAATTTTTTTCCGTTTTTGGGGCGGCTGGCTTATTTGTAAGTAGTGCGAGGGGAATATAAAATTTAAAGAATCCGGACACCGCGGATTTGGTTTTAAACTTATAGTTGCGTGTTCTTGTGGTCGTTGTGAAATTCAGTTAGGACTGATAATCAATACGGGTTACGAAGTCAACCGACAAATAGTCTTCGTCATGAGACTTCTTGGTGTTAGCCGAGCAGGTCTAAATATATTTAGTGGACTTATGGACTTCGGACAAGGTTTGTATGCAACTGCATACACGCGAATTGTGCAACACACATACACGCAGCCGCAAGTTCGGTGTTTAAAATTTTATGTGGAAAGGCCGTCGAAGAAGAAAAAGAAGGAAGACCTCCAACAGAATTGAAGGTATCTGGCGATGGATCGTGGAAGAAACGAGGGTTTACCTCTTTATATGGTGTCACGACGCTCATCGGGTATTATACTGGTAAGACAATAGACCTTGTCGTCAAAAGTGGCTATTGTCATGCGTGTACTCTATGGAGTAATCGTAAGGATACTGACGAATATACTGAGTGGTATGAAAATCATCGAGAAGAATGCTTCGCGAACCATTCAGGATCGGCTGGTAAGATGGAAATAGACTCTGTACGGGAAATGTTTTTAAGATCGGAAGAGAAATTTGGAGTCAAATATTTAAATTATATTGGCGACGGTGATTCAAAAACATACAAAGCCATTGTCGATTTGAATCCATACGGCGATGATTGTCCAGTTGTTAAAAGCGAGTGCGTTGGACACGTCGAAAATCGAATGGGCACGCGGATTCGAAAAATTAACCCTTTGCACTCCAAAGCATTCTGGACATTGGCTACCAGCTACTCAGCGCTATTTTGTGGCAGAAACGTGCATTTACGGACCTTCGTATTATTTAGTATAGTTTTGGAACCAAGTAACGTATTATAATGATATTGGACTTATATGAATTGGTTGACATCAAGAAATGTATATTTGCAAAAAAATCAATATTTTATTTTTTATAATTTTGTACAGTGTGATAAACCGTTCTTCCGTATCACTTTCATCGCTATCGCTATCTATGCGATCTCTACGTCGCCTTGTTGGTTGGACGATATCACTATCACCGCTATCGTTTTCTTTTACATTTAGTCTTTCTAACATATCTGTATAAACATCAATCTGAAGCTCATCTTCACTACTACTTGTGTCATGAGACTCATTCGTGTTTCAACGTTTTGCCATTGTTCTAATAAAAAAATGAATAAATACATGGGTTGAAAATTTCTAATTGTTATTACTAACCCATAAAATGATATTTACCAAAAGAACTTATTTACTAAGAGAAGAATCGCTTTTCCGATTTTCTCACTCGTTAGGTCTATCTATACTGCTCGACGCTTCAAATCAGACTGAGCTTAGCTTTGAAAATCTTTTCCTCCAGTTTTAACTTTGTTTATTTATATTTATAAATCTCACTATACAGTGTGAGGTATGCACGCATACCGACCTTTCTTCTACAAATTCTCCTTATCGCCCTTTTCAAGTGGCGCCGAGAAGTGCTCGGACCGTCGTGAGCACGCTTCTCACGTTCTCTTCTGACACAAAACCCGCTGATATTTTTTTTATATATCTCAGTAATTTTACTATGTTTTGATTTGATTTCTTGTGCCATTTCAAAAGGAAACTTCAGGGAAACATGCATGTCTCAAAAAGTTGCGCTGAAATAACTTAATTCCCGTAATCACTAATAAATTTTAATGTCCCCTGAGAGGGAACATCCGAGTGATATGCTAGAATTACGATGTCCCCTGAGAGGGGACAGCGGAGTGCAAAGGGTTAAAAAATCAGCTACGATTGTTAGCAGAGGTAAACTTACAGATTTGTTAATAAAGAAGCTTACCACATATTATGGTCTGGCAATACGGCGAAATAAAAATTCTATAGCCGATATGAAGAGGGTATAATGGCAACATTAGACCATTTATCGTCGACGAATGACCAACCAAGGCACGAAAATTGTCCGGCCGGAGACGACAGCTGATGCAAGTGACGTAAAGCCGAAGCGCAAGGTGAATTAGATAATTTTAATCATCCTACTCCACTTTACCCAAATGTGCTCAAACACTTGAAACCAATATATAAAGAACTCTCGAAGGAGGATTTATTAACCAGGTGTCTAGGTGCAGACATACAGAATTGCAATGAGAGTTGCAATTCAACGGTTTGACGCCTAAATCCAAAGCATCTAAATTCCGGAGCAAAAATGATCGAAACCTCCGCCTTTATTGCTGCTGGCATTTTTAACGAGGGCTACTCATCTGTATTAAAGATAATGAATGCATTAAATATCAATATTGGGCAGCAATGCAAATTCTTTGCTGATACGTAAAAACACGTGAATAAAATATCTCGTACGTACGGTCACAATTCCCTCACGCAAAAAGAAGGCTCCGCGGAACACAACATCAATTCTTCATCCTACTATGTTGTTCGATATTATGTCTGCCTTATTAGATAATTCTTCATACAACAGTGAGAAAAATTAGCGATTAATTTAAGAAAATAAATTATTTGTTAATTTTATTATTTTTGCTTTTCGATGTGCGAAATTGTCCAAATTATAGACATGGATGGTTTTATGGTTGACAAAGAATTCCTATGTAAAGAAATGGCAATTATAAACATTAATGACGGTACATATTTCAAAATTGATTTTCATTTGGATAAACAATATTATGAATTGTCGGCAACCGATTAAAAGTCCCGGGGTCTGTTTCTCATTTCGTACACACGATACCTTTTACTGATTTTGGTTATGAAAAATTTAAACAAGGGGATATATTTAGCATTATTAAAAATTTGGTCGAAATTGTACAGATCCTCTTATTGCTTATAAAGGTGCGCATTTCGAGAGTGGCATGTTCGCATGTCCTTTCGTTATCCTACGTCAACTCTGTTTCCATAGTGTATATTTAGAGCGATTTAATTGTTCAAAGTACAACCATTTAGTAACTGATACCGTGAAGTAACATACCGGCTTCGTTGTTGGTGGCGTAATCGAACTTTAATTAAAGAGTACCACTGTTGTTTGAATGAAGTACGTATATTTTGGTTAGGAGTAAATAATTATAAAGACTACCTATCCAACAATATAAAGTATGTAAATATTGTTAACAGTAACTACATTTTGGTTTCTCTTTTACAGAGAGATGATTAAACTGGCGTTAAAGATAAAAAAAGACTAGCGACTACGTCGCCGAACGCTACCGCAGACTGCTGAACCGGGTATAATATCCGTAATTGATAGCGAACCTCTCTCGCTGCTAAAATATTGATGCGGCAATTATAATATCATCGTGCCGCGATACGTCGAAAAATCAAACTAGTGTAATGTCCTAACGGGTTACGTGAAGACAGTAACAAGTTGACGATAACACCGGCACCTTCTCATATGTCTTTAAGACTACGGTGAGGATCCTTCGTTGCAAACTCGGCGAAGCCTCGAATTCTAGACCTGGCACAACCGTGAGCACCTCCGCCGGGCGCATCCGAGCAATACCGTACCACTACGAACCACCGCGAACCGACCGTAACAGGAGTACCGACGCTCCAGCGGACCGTACCTACCATTCGAGCTCCACCGAGTGCAAACAAGCGCAGTCGAACTGCAACCGACGCCCGTTTACCGAGGCATCCGAACGTTCCTCCTTGTTCCTAGTTCACCCTGTTAGTTCGTACGTCGCGGACTAAGATCCGCTCTGCTTATAGTCCCACCCCCCTTAGTTCTAAGGCGTACCAGCCAATCGCCGTTTAATGAATCTGGACACGATCTTGAGCTAGCAGTCACCTCCTCCTCGTCCCGCGACCTCGACGAGAAAAAATTATATTTGAGACGCGTAAAACGCGACGCCACCAACTTGTAAAAACACGCGAATAAAACATCTTGTACTACGGTCACACACTTCCTTAAAAGTAATTCGAACGTTTAGGTAAATGGTAACTTCAGAAGAAGCAATCATAGAACAAGTTTCGTTTACATTCAAGACAGTCGAATCTGCGGATTCACCCACTCGGATACATCTGACGAGAATACATCAAACAATCGAATTTTTTCATCCGGATAATTTGACGAACCACGTGCACAGTCACCTGTAAAACTACGTACAGCGTCGCGTCGCTCGGATGTTGTCGTGTATCGATCGCGGAGTACTTTGCACAAGTAAGCCTGCGAAATGGTATCCTCGGCGCGAAATTTTTCTGACTGGAAAGAGGAATGTATTCATTCCCGTGATACGCCGATCATACCGTTTCTCGCAGTATTTTAGCAGACAGCACGCGCCGTAAACGCTTGCGTTTTACGCGTGAAGCGTACAGATCCCCGTAATTGTAGAACAGTCCTTTTAGGAAGGGCAGATATTGTTCGGTGAAGGGGGTATCTTTTTAGAAAAAATATTAATCATTAATTTATACAGCTTCGTTTGATTAAACGAGATATGGGTTAATGTTAGGCACACCCTCACAAGGAGATAGACAAATAACTAAGACAACTGTGCGTGTATCTATAGACGATCTTCTTTTTTGCTCGAAAAAGACGGGAGATTATAACGAAAAGATGGACAATGTGAGATTTTCAACACGGCTTCGTTAACAATTACTGTCCAATATTGAAGCGGGCAGTGTTGTCGTTATGGATGATGCCCCACATCATAGCGTTCGATTAAAGCAGATTACTACAATGCCGAGTAGGAAAGCCATAATTTTATAGTATCTGATAGTGAAGAAGAAAGTAACAGTCAAGATCGTGAACTTAATTTTACATCTGAAGAATGGATATGGGAAAACAAGCAAAACAATAGCAAAATTTGGCAGTACTCACGGATTTCTGGACTAAATATAGAAATGGCAAAAGGAACCACAGCTTTGCAAATGCTAAACCAAATTTTACCAAAAGACTTTTGGAATATCATTGTTACAAAAAGCAATTGTTATCCGAGTCAAACAATAGGAGATACAGCCCGAAAAATAAAAAAATCTGAGGAAAATTGGAGAGATACGAATATTGATGAAATTCATGCTTATTTTGCGTTATGCATCTTGATGGCACAAGTGAAAAAGTCGAATGTCCAATCCTATTGGCCAGAAAGAAGTATTATTGAAACTCCCATTTTTCGAAAAACAATGCCATTGCGGATATTAATGCAACTCTCCCATTTTTTTACATTTTTCCAATAATAAAGTTGTGGATAAAGATGATCGTTTGCACAAATTACGAGGTATAATCGATTATCTCAATGAAAAATATACGAGTATTTACACTTCCGAAGAATATGTGTCATTAGACGAATCTCTTATGAAATATACCGGTCGAATGTCATATAAACAGTTCAATCTGTCAAAGTGGGCACGTTTTGGAGTAAAGTTGTATAAATGTATTATTGTATCAAATTTAAAATATACACAGGTCAAGATACTGTGAAAAATTCAATCACCAGTGCTTCCGAAAATGTTACCATGTTTATGTGCACACCAATATCCAATTTCAGACACACCTTGTTTTTGGATAATTGGTATTCTTCACCAAATCTGTTTCAAAAATTACAATCCATAAAAACTAATGCCATAGTAACAGTTAGATATAACAGAAAGAATATGCCGAAAGATCTCGCAACGATAAAGCTGAAACGATCAGAAGCTATTTCAAGATCGTGCAAGTGTATTTTAGCTGCAAAGTGGAAAGACAAAAAAGCTATATATTTATTGTCCAAAAAACATAAAAAAATTGAAATGATGGAAGTGGAAAAGAAGAGATGGAAAACTAATAACATCGTTACAAAGCCCAATATCGTTTTGGAGTATAATGATGGCATGGGTGGGCTAGATCTCCAAGATAGCTACTTATCTTCTTTTTCACTTACGAGAAAATACGTGAAAAGTTATAAAAAAATATTTTTTTACTTAATGGATATTGAAATTTTCAATGCTTATGTTTTATTTTCAAAGAAATTGAATGTATCAAAAAGTAAAAAATACACATTTTCCAAATTTCGATTAGATGTGGCGCAACAAATTTTAGAAAGTGTATGTATGCTTGAATACACAAAACGTGGAAGACTGTATGCCGGTGACATACCACTGCGTTTACAATCAAAACATTGGGGCCATTTTCCAAGGAATATTCCACCCACAGAAGCTAAAAAGAATTCCCAAAGAAGGTGTAAAGTGTGTGCCAAACATAAAAAATGCAGCGAGACTACTTGGGAGTGCAAGAAATGCCTTGTGGCATTAGATATTCCAAAATGTTTTGAAATTTACCATACAGAAGTAGACTATTAGTTAATAAAATGTTATTGTTGTCGTGAGTATTCATTCATATCCGTGTAAACTTCTTTATGTAACAGCCTACCAACGCGCTGAGGCGCTGTTTAAAGGATTGCACTCGCAGACGCAGAGCGGCGTCAATGTGACACTTTACCGCTTGTTATATTGTAGCGCACGGCACTGCAACCGTGAAGTTTATTCGTAGCACAAGTGGTTAATCTACCACCATCGGCAAAGTAGAAATCTGTAATTGCCGATAACTTGCCAACAATCAGTAAAGTAGTTTCCTGTAATAGCGAACCATCGCCGAGATTTTCCCAGAATTCGCAACGGACGATTTCGAATTTACTGTGCGCTGACGGTATTTTCAAATCAATGTTTGTAACATCAAACGAAGTTGCATAGTCACAGACCAATAAATTGCTATATTGGAAGACTTGTTTGCATTATTCTGCTTTCGACATACTTCACAAGAGTCAACTCAAGTTCCTGTTTATAGGAACGGAAGCATATATTAGTAATGACTCTTGCCAGTCCGATTTCTGACAAGGGAAAGTATGAGCCACCATTGGATTGAATTTAGAGATAGGGGCTCTATTACGTAAGCAGCAGCTGGCCATGGACGATATGCCATATGGACGAGCTAACCAAAACGTAACCAAGAACGGTCCTTGGTGCAACTAGTCACATATCTATAACTGTCACGAATTTTGAAGTCACATGGCAAAACCTTAAAGAGCGATACAAGGACAAACAGGCGTTCCAAACTGATCTAGTCAACCGTTTGCTAACGTTGCCACCGCAGAATTCATCGGGGCACGATATAACTGGCTTAGAGGCCGGGAAAATGAAATATAAGCGATTTGGGGGAAATTGGGGGTGCCCACTTCACCATAGAACAGTTTGCTTATCCCCGTTCTAGTCAAGAAACTAGACTAAAAATTACTGGAAACCTACTGTGTTTATGAGAGTCGAAGGATGGATGGATAGGGGGTGGGGCGATGGTTCTGCAGATTGACAGAGATGGACAACAGATTTGGGAATTTTCCGGTACTAGTTTAACGGATCATTCTGTCATTATGAGTTCAGCACCTGCTGGTTATGATGACAAAATGGAGGTTGAATCCTCTCCACAGCCTGGAACATCGAAGTCCGTTCCGCCACGCCCTAAACATAAATCACGAGAAAAACAAGCGAAAGCACGCACTACGGACAAGTTCCGCCTGAATGTTGGTTCGAAACAACAAGCCAAGATCCGCAGTGATATTGCTGCCAAATGGGGTCTGCCAATCTCTTCAGATCTTGAAGAGGTTACGCGCTCTTTGGGCGCAATTCACATTCCGATAACGCAACGGTGTCGACCAGTTCCCGTCGCGTCTCGAGGAGTCGGTATTGCTTGTGTCATCGAATACAACAAGATGGTTACTACCTGGAATTTCCAGGCTATTAACGAGATCTACTCAATACATGCTTATTACCGCGTAGCTCTCCATCTATTCTACGCGTGTTGTGTTGAAGCTCGTCTCACTCAAACAGGAGTTGAGACTTATCCGTTATCCAGTCCCCAATACATGTCTTGAATGTAACTGTTCACCCACGGGTCGCGATTTTCCTCGTGACAGCTCACGCAGTTGACAGTGGACTTGAGGGCGGAAGCGAGTTTTGGCTTCAAATCTCAAATCAGTAGAGTTCAAATAAACGGTAACCACTGAAGAACCGATCACAGAATGAGTTTTGTTTACGTTCGGGACAGTCGAGTCTCCTTGAAACTTATAGTTAATAATTCACCTATCTACGCAACCTCAACAAGAACTAATAACGATCCAGGATATGGTAGGAAAGGTGAAAAGACTTAAACACGAAAAGCTCCGTGTACAGATAGAATGACCACAGAAAAAGCCAAGGCGATAATATCAACGGCCTGGAAACCGGTGACAACAATCTTCAGTAAATATCTCAGTAATGGCGTCTACCCTACTAAATGGAAGGAGGGATAGTTAGGTAGACCAAATAATAACATATTTTCAGGACTGCAGACTAAATGCCAATCCAGCAAAAACTCGAGCCATCACCTTTACCAGAAAAAAAACACACACAACAGTCCCGAACCTAACAATCCTAGGCAC